CGTACCGAGCAGAGAGACGAGGGAGAGGGGGAAGTAAAGAGGGAGGGGGAAAAGAGGAGAGAAGTGGGTTGACAAGCGGCAGACCCTATCGCCCTCCCGTCTGACTCTGTCTATCTCCCCGTTGCTCCCTGAGGGTTTGTCTCTGAGGATAGTGCTATGATGAATAGGCCTGTCTAAGCAAACCTAGCAGAGACCAATTAGAGAGAGTGAGAAGAAAAAGAAGAACGATAGAAACAGAAAAACAATGAGAGAAATGGAAGCAAAGGGAGAGCGGGAGACAGAGAGGGAAGAGAAGGGCAGATGCATTAAAAGGAGGTAGGAGGACTGGGGTAAAGTGGAAAGTTTAAGGCAGTGCGTGTTGTCTGTGAGCGTGTGTGTGCCTCAGTGAGCTGTCAGTGCTGAGGGAGACGCCGTATGAGAGGGCCCGGCCTCCTAAGTCTTAACCTCGTCTGCTACTGCAGGAGAGGCTTTGACAGCAGAGACGCACAAACAGGACTGACCCTCGCAAAAACATTTCCTCCTCCTCCTTTAGAAAAGCCTTTCAGTGCTATCCTACTTCCTCTGTGTTCCTCCTCCCTCCTTCATCCAACTAATTTTTCTCCAGTCGAGCAAGCATATTACGTTTATTCAGATTATGTTGACATCTTTTATGTGAATAAATGCCATTATTTTATTTTTTTAAATTGGGTTTTCACTGTATTTTATCTCAGGAAACTGGCAAATATTCACACTGTGATGGTCAGAGGTGTAGTCCACGTACAAGAACAGAAAAAGCTATAACAAAGCTACAAGTGCTAAAAACTAAAGAATCCAAATGAAGAACCTATTTCAGTGGGTCCTAATCCCGAACAGTAACTGCAGGTTGAAGAATAAATCCAAGATAAGATAGTTTAGTAATGGACGTATAAATTATTAACTGATTTTGGTCATTTGCAGGGAAAAAAATTATGAGTTCAAGGTGGTCCAATTTGCTAATCAGAATTTGGTCATAGGGGTTTTTTTTCACCTGTGAAATAAGCAAAGATTACTCACTGAAAGCTCGAGAGACTGTTTGTTTTTTCAGTCCCACCTTCATAACGTCTTTTCCCATCCTCCGCCTCAGCAGCTTTTTGGCTTTTGTAGTTTCTTTGCCATGTTCCTGTCATTCATCCATTTTCTTATGTTTATCAAATTCATGGCCTTTCATTGGGTGAGACACCGGGTACAACCTGGACGCCAATCTATCGAAGGGCTAAAAAATAAACATCTATGGTCAATTTAGAACATCAGTTTTAGACAAACAGTTTTAATTTAGACTGTTGGACTTACCTGACTTACACTTCTGTATGTTAGCCCTTAACATACAGAAGTGTCTGTCAAACAAAAGTATTTCGGACACTATCTTAAGTCTATTTTGCAATACAATCAGATTTAATCATTTGGATATGAACTATATTGTCTAGTATATCATTTCTGACCCCCATTTGCTCAATCATGTAATCCCCATATGAATCTGAAACATTTGTAAGTCTTAAACATGAAACATTTCTACTTTCTATAATGTGAGCACTGAATTATGTTGGAGATTTAAACAACTAGGAAAAAGCATCAGCTCGGCCTGGGATCAAATCCAACTAGCACTTCCTCGCCTGCGTCTGCCAAGCTAATTTTCCTCCTTCAAACAAACATTTGATAAATGGCTTCCCCACTCTCTTCTTACAAAACAGGATAACTCTCCTCGTCCTCTTCCTCTCGACGATCTCTGTCGTCCTTCCCCCTACACACACGCACACACACGAATCTCTGAGACAATTACAAACATCCTGCTTCCCATTTATCACCAACAATTAAACGGCACGGACGCTCGCTACTTCATAAGCAGAGAGGAGAGGGCAAGGAAAGCGGGAGGAGACGAATGCGAGCGGAATGAAGTAGAGTCAACAGTGAGAAAGAGAGAGGAAGGCTGACAGCACAATTAAGGTTTTTAATTCTCTGCTTGAGTGGGCCAGTCCAGTCTTTATGCTAATTAGGATGCCACGGCCATGTAATAAATCTCTATGATCCAGCCTCATTTCCCTTCTGTCTCTCTCTGTCTCTTTCTCGCACGCTTGTACAGACAACAGCACAGAAAGTTCACCGGTTACTTTTTAAACGGCTAAACCCTTCGGCTGCAGTGCTGATCATTTTGATAAGATTGTTATTTCTGTGCAGTTTTAATGCTTCACTGTGATCAGGGAGCCACCGTTTGTCTGCATACGCTGTTTACTTGGTTGGGCAAGCATTTGCCGCCTTGGCTCAAAGCCTCCACCACATGCAGTTTCTCTCCCTGTTAACTCGCTTTATTAGTGTTTTTCAGGAATGTGGTTTGCATGTCCTGCACCGCTGGACTCCGCTGCATAAACGTTACGAATGCAGAACATTTTCGGTTCTTCTCTTATCTTCTCATCTCCATTTGACAGACACGTCTAATGATAACATCTGCAGATGGGAAGCAAACAGCACAACAATCCGCAGATAATTGGGGGCCGCGTTTAAAGACGACGAGAGAAAATGAGAGAGACCGATAAGTGGACAACTGCAGGCTCTTTGTTAAAGTAGCAACGAGCAGATATATTTTCACCCTCATTTAGGGCACGAGGACTCACTAGTGCCCTCCTCCCTCCCCTTTTATTTTTGCTTCCTTGTAAGGTTGTCCCAAACCCAGTAAAAGACAGAAACACAGAATCTATGTAAAAATCAACTAAAAGTTTACTTTCATTAAATAAACAAAGGTAAAAGCAATTAACTAAGGTGGATTTTTATTCACACATCATCATTTTACACAACTCAGCCTTGCTGGGCAGCTCTTTTACCAATTATTAGCCTGCTTTTGGTTTGCTGCCCTTCTACGCTCTTCTGTAGGCTTAATACTTTCTCACTGGGGGTGTCACCGTCAGCCATCTTGTGTTGCCTGACAGCCAAAATGGCTACCGCCCCAGCCACCAGCCCGAGGTGAAGTAGGTAGAGAGAAACATGGAGACCGGTCACCAGCAGAGAGAAGCAGACAGTGGCAACACACCAAGGCCCAGCCAGGATCAGCAGCAAGGAGTGATACAAGGAGCTGAAGACGAGAGCTGGGACGGACAGAAGGAACCTGAGCAACGTGGAGGTCATCCAGGAGTACAGAGACAGAGGCGATAAGAGGAGAGATACTGCTGCCTCACTCATCGATACTGCCTAAAAGATACAAAAGGTGGGCGTTAAATACACACACTCTATATTTCTTTATAGCATTATTCATTTTTGTCAACCTACCTCACGAGCATTCATGTGCAAGGTGACACTAGATGTCTGAGTCTTGTGAAGCCCTGAAAAGTTAGCAACATACAGACACAACTTTACTTGGATAAGAGCAAAACACAACTGAATCAAACAAAGCTTTTAAACCTCATCAGTGATGGTTGCATTCTTTAAAAAGACATCTACTTACATAGGAAGAGGAGAATGAGACTGACAGCCAGCAATAGCCTCATTTCTCCTACACAGCTTCACACTTACAATCCTGAAAGCAACAAACAAAACAATTCAACAGCAACATTAAGCCTTCACTAAGGTTTAATGCCTACACTAGCCTTCACGAGCACTCGCACATGAATCTAGGACAGTATCTGCATGGCTTAAAAACAACAGCAAGAGTTTAATTTCTCACCCAACACTGCTCCCACTGTGTATCAGCTCACTCCTGCTTCCTTCTGTCACACCGACCTTTATTCAGCAAAGTTTTCAGCTTTACTTAAGTAATCCTCTTGTGGAAGTTATGCAACATTCCCCCTTGTTGTGCCAGTTTTCCAACAAAAAAGAAAAGAAGCATGGCCTGAACCACTCCACACTGACTTTAGGGATGTCAGCGCCACCTGTTTGAGGGGAGGGGTGATATCAAGAATACTTTCACAGCTGAAAGATCACCTAGAGACTCTTTTCTCTGCATGTTCTGTGCATCTTTTGTCCTGTTTCCCACCTTCAACCAGTCACAGCAGATCGCTGCCCCTCCCTGAGCCTGGTTGTGGTTTCTTCCTGTTAAAAGGGAGTTTTTCTTTCCCACTGTCACCAAGTAACTGCACATAGGGGGTCATCTGATTGTTGGGGTTTTCTCTGTATTGTTGCAGTCTTTACCTTCCAATATAAAACACACTGAGGCAACTATAAAACTCAACTGAATTATATGAAACATCAAATTCATGCTTTTGTGCCAAAACACTTAAAAAAATGACTTGAGGCCAGCAGGAGGTATTTACCGTCACTGGAATGTCATAGTATGATGTGACGCTCTCCAACTCCAACCTTCACCCCTGTCTTTAAATGATTGTCCCACCCCCTACCCTCGCACTCCATTAAGGTTAAACCCCTCCTGTTATTATCAGCTCACCCCACCATTACCCTTCTCCTCCCCACTGAGACACCAAGGAGAACCTGCTACAAATAAATGCTGATCAGCTGTAATGTTGTCATGATTAAGTGGCATTCTGTCAGAGTAGGGGGAGAGGGAGGTTTACTCAAAGGGCCGAAGCGCACTAATAGTCTTTATGTTACCATTTAATGTCTTTCACCAGGGTTTGTTTATTTATTAGGTCTGTTCAAAATTGCAGGTAATGTTCATCATGACTTCAGCCTTTCACTTAGTACTAACAATCATGCTCTCACAGGCATTCCTGCCATAAAAATGATAAAAATCATGATACACCAGTTCAAGTTTTTTTTATTATGTTGACCCAGTGAGGGGTGGGCAGTATGTTTATACACCATGTTTTATTGTGTACTGTACAATGATTACTAACGCTTAAAAATACTGGAAACTATTTTTTTGTTTTGTTTTTGCAGCTTGTAGTAAATGTCGGTTAAAACCACAAGTCTGTTCGCCAGTAGTCTTAAACTCAAAAGTATCTGAGGTGAGAAACGTTACAGACATTTGACACCTTTCACTGCTCATTTCATTTACGGTAGATGTTTAGAAAAACTCGCTAAGATAAACTATCACCATCAATCTTTCTACCAAAGTGAAGTGAAGCCTAGAGGACGAACAGAAGGCTGATGACAAGAGTGTAAAACACACCACTGCTCCATCAACTGCTGAATGAACAAACAACATTTGAAGTTAAGAAAGTAGCTAAATTCATCTCAATCATCTGTCTTCATGAATGCAAAAATCATTTATTTTTGCTGCTTTTGCATTTTCAGAAAAAACATACAGACACCATGTGATACAGAAACCGAGACAGAAAAAAGGACATTTAATATAACCACATAAAAACATGATGAAAGCTGTAAACATGTGTACAGAGAATTAGTCATTCTTTACACTTCATCCTATTCATAAAAATTTTGCATCTACAGGGGAGAACAACAACAAGAAGACATAAATATGTTAATAAGAAGCTGGAAGGTATAGTGTAAGAAGTCCCGTTTCATTTCAGACACACACCTCAACTCACTTTACATCAATTACATAAAGCTTACTCATTATGAAAATGGAAATTAAAAAATGTTCTACATAAAACAAGACGCACTGTACAGACAGGATCCTGAGACGTGATGCTCATAAATTTAATGTAACATGTATTTTGGGAATTCTGGACTAGCCTACGGACAATATTCCAAACAATGAAGGACTGATCATTGTCCATGTATCTGCATCACTCATTGGTTAGTCAGTGGTATTTCTTCAGCAAAGAAAGCCAGTGCGAATTCACTTAGGACTAGTAGATACTGGTAAAAAAGTGCTTTTTTCCCTTCAAATACTGGATGTGGAGAGAATGTCCTCCACCAGATGCTTGTATACCCAAGCGTCTCCCTTCAGCCTCTGGCGGCGGACCCCGACAACTTCGGGCCTTTGCAGCAAGCACACCTCCAGTTCAAACGCCATCGTCACCTTCCCGAAGTCACCCCAGGTTTGACATTTCAGAGTATACCTGGAGGAAAGGCAATGGGAACAATGTGGAAACATTAACATTTGGTCCAAGAGTGAGCAAACCAGTCAGAAGACAGGGAGGTAACGGGAATTCTTACCCTTTCTGTGTGAAGTCGATGTTTTTCTCCCGCAGGATGGAGAGGATCTGGTTAAGCACCTGGTCTGGATTGGTCTGACTGGTCAGAGTCACGTTGTACTGTGCCTGGTGGAAAACACAGCCAAGCCACTGATCAGAATTTCTATCATTTTGCTGTAAATTAATTGTCTTTGAATTTTTATTTTACTGATGATGGATCTGCTTTGGGGGTTTTCGGCTTTCTATTACCTTAATCTTACGTGGACCATCCCGCAGAGCTCGTCGCTTGTTTGGCGTGAGCATGGTTATCACCTTATCCAGACCTCTCTCCAGGGAACCAAACATCTTTCCCCCTCGTTTCTTCTTCCCACTGTCTCCTGTGACAGCCAAGTCCAGTGACCTGGACCTTAAGAGCACAGAGGAAAGGAAAAAAAAAAAAGCCTCACTTTAGCTCAGGAATCCTGAACTGCCCTTCCCATTGGCTTACATGTTACTGGTTTTAAGGACTCAAGAACACATTTGTGACCCATTCTTATGACTAAAAGTAAAGAATAAATTCTGTTGAAGGAAAAGCACCATTTAGGGAACCTTTACTCACCTCCGCTCTGGGCTGAAGGCTATGATTTCTGCATTTGCAGGATCCTTGTTCTCTACTGCTCTCTTCTTGTGCTCTTTGGATGAGCCGTCTCCACCTACCAGAAAAAAGTGCATTAAGAAAGTTGAAAACTTACTACCTTGCAAACACAGAACTTCTATACATATTGGTGGATCTGACTGAGAAAGCAAGAAACACCGAATGCTCATTTGGTTGGCTAGCCTAAAGAATACTTGCTTTTATTTGTGTCACTAAGCACAATAAAGACCACAGTTCATGTTTTATTCAGTATGCCTTATCGATTATCGATTTAGGCCATTAACTCATCAGGACTGTCTTCAGTGCCGGCTGAAGTCATGCATCAAGTGAGCACTAGGATTGTTTCACCATAGATTTTACACAGACGTTGTCACCACCCTGTCATGGCCCTGAGAAGGAATCCAGGTTTAATCCAATTTAACAAGCGGCAGAATTTTATAGCAAAATAATTTAACTATAAATATGTGAGAATTTCATTAACCAATAAGGAAAAATCAAACTGAAAATTGATAACTCATGTGAAATTCAGTATCAAATAAACCCCTCTTATAATACATTTTTGGCTATGACTGTTTTGGTCAGATCGTAGTGTTAGGGATATAACCGTGAAGCTCCTGAGAAGTATAGTCAGCTTGGGGTTTGAATGTTTCACTCACTGTCACTCAGGAACTCTAGTTTAAATCAAGAGCTGTTCAAAGACGACACAAAAAATAAAGCATACCGCTAACACAACATGGATAAAGGTTTGTTTTTTACCAACCCCAAGGTCACTCAACAGGGAGAAGTGTTTGGAATGAGAATAAATTTGAAAACGCTTAGGTAACAGCCCTGTGCTCTTATGCATCGAACTGGCTGGCTCTGACACTGGAGTTGTGAACACAAAGGAATAACGATTTTGACACACACGCACACACAAGAGAGCTAGGCTTTAGTGGTAAGAGAACACATGTCACTACAGCCCACGTGGGACAGTGAGCAAAGGAAAGAGACAGCTACACCTGTCACAGCACACGCCTAGGGACAGACACGCATAGACCACTGTGTGTGTGTGTGTGTGTGTGTGTGTGTGTGTGTGTGTGTGTGTGTGAGTGAGTCAGAGAGAGATATGAGGACAAGTAAGTCACAGGTAGCACGTTTGCACTTTGCTGTAGTTTGCAGAGCAGGAGGCTGTAAAGAGAGCGGGTCTGAGCCGTATTCCGAGGATTCAACATCAACTAGGTCAGCTGCAGCGAGCTGGTGGCTGAATTTATAGAGGCATCTAATGAGGCTGGACATGTGAGAAGACAAGTCGCTATGACAAATAATTAAGACTTTAATGATTCTCCGTTCATATTAGTGTCCTTCATTCACAGATAAGTGAACAGAATTAGCTGCTTCTTGATAATAACCTCACCTTTGAGTTGACAGTGATAAGTGTGTGTGTGTGTGTGTGTGTGTGTGTGTGTGTGTGTGTGTGTGTGTGTGTGTGTGTGTGTGTCATTCTTCAGTGGCAAAATGACAGCTAAATCACAGAAATATGAGTGGCTTTGGGATAAAAACAGACCCAATGAATGAGTTTATTACCAGAATACAATTTACTTGCAAATGTTTGGCATGTGGTTGTGGCACTTGTGATTATGAGAGCTGTGTAAGACCAAGCGAGGGACGGATAAATGAAGGGGGGGCAGGGGGTGAGTGGAGGAGAGGGGCAGCTGGTTAATGCGAATCTGATCTAATAGGCACTGCACTTCAAACCCTTGTTGAGAACAACAATTACAGTACAAATAAACTGTACGATGCCCAGAGCTCTGTACTGTCTGTACTCAATTTTCTGTCTTTGGTTGAGTGACCAAGAATCTATTAAGAAATGATTCTTACCTTTAGGTGTGGCCACACTGGGTTTGGGGCTGTTGATATTAGCATTTTGATTGGGTGTGGTCAACACATTCTTATTGAGGCGTGCATTCCTCTTACTGGATACAGGCGTTCGAGGTGGAGGCAAGGCAAAAATGTCAACGTCTCTGTCTTGGACATCATTATTCTCCTTGTTCTCGCTGGCCTGTTCTCGGTTCCTCTCTCTATGGTAGCGAGGTGTCGCTTTTCGCGCTCTCTCTGGGGTCGGGCTTGAAGGATGTCCTTTTTCCACTGATGGCGATACCAGCCTCTTTAAAAATACCAAAAGACAAATGATAATAATAATAATAATAATAATAATAATAATAATAATGATTGGATTTATATAGCGCTTTTCAAGGCACCCAAAGCGCTTTACAATGCCACTATTCATTCACTCTCACATTCACACACTGGTGGAGGCAAGCTACGTTGTAGCCACAGCTGCCCTGGGGCAGACTGACAGAAGCGAGGCTGCCATATCGCGCCATCGGCCCCTCTGGCCAACACCAGTAGGCGTAGGGTAAAGTGTCTTGCCCAAGGACACAACGACCAGGACAGAGAGCCCGGGGATCGAACCGGCGACCTTCCGGTTACAGATACGCTTCCCAACCCCCTGAGCCACAGTCGCCCCCAAATGTGATGTCTCAGAAAAAAAGCTGCATTTGGGATTTATATGAACTGCATTTCAGATAGCCAGAAAGCACCCAAAACCTCATCCCCCTGCTTCTTTCAGGTATCAGCTGGAGAATTTCTTATTCATTCAGTATCTGTAACTTCCCGTTCAGACTGTACTTTCTGACATACGGCAGTAAGAGAGAAATCAGGGATTGGTCGCTCTCTGCTTTGGATTTATTAGGTGGTTATTTGGAATACTTTTCTATGTTTACCACCCTGGCGAGAAAAGTAGGTGTCCTTTCAATTTTTAAACATTTAAACATCTGCCTCCCCTTCCCCACAATGGCTGGTTTGTCACTCTGCCTTAAAGCGTGGCCACTTGGAACGACTAAACACATCCAGCTTCTGACGTGGTTGGACAGCGTGTCTAAAGAGAAGGCTTTCAATCCGAGTTTACCTTTTTCTTCAGTCTACTCATTTAGACACATGAAAGAAAAGAGAAATCTATACTTATAGCAACTTCCACATACCGTGTCTTTTTTTATGATTCCATCTGGCTGACCTCTGACCCTCTGGGGTGTGTGCTGTGGAACTGAAACCCAGGGGCAATCATCGATGTAGTCTGAGCAAATGTCCAAGGAATCCACAATCAAAGCGTCTTCATCCTCACTGAAGTGCAGAGCTTTTCTGGTCTAACAGAGATAGAATAAAAAAATAAAATAAAATCCATAAAAGCAAAATGTATCAGTATCAGCTGTAAGCAGCTTTAAAAGAGCAGTGCATCATAGAAGCTCTGGTCCTAAATCTGACCTGTAGTCCCTGATGCAGAGGCGAGCACGAGTCCTCACAGACAGCTGGCTCAGGGCGCAGGCGGACAGGCTTTCCCCTCTGCTTCTTAGACAGCAGCAGCAGGTAGGTGGCTGTGATGTGGTCATATCGCCACTGTGGGAGATAATTTAAGATGTATTTAAGTAGATGTCTAACAGAAATTAAGTACAAGTTCTAGTATGATATAATAAATACAACATAATGATGCTGAAATATGCATACACAGACACACACCTCCTTCACCAGCGCTGTGGTGCTCTGTCTTGATCGCTTCATGTTTACTGCCATCTCAGTGATACAGTCTTCATCCATGTAGCCAAGCTACAAAAGACAAAACAAAGATAAAACTGTGAACACACAAAGCCCCAAACAGACAAATTTTATTGTCATCACCAAGGAGGTTTTTCATTGATTCAGTTTGTTTGTTTGAAGGATTATTCTAAACAGCTGAAGAAGATTTTGCATCAAAAATGTGTTCACAGAGGTTCAGGCTTGGCCTAATTTAGTACCAATTAACTTTTGGAGTTCATCTGGATCCGAGACTTTTGTTTTGAAGGATTCTTCAGGATTGCAGCAGAGGGCAAAACTGGTCATTTCCTCACAGATCCATATCACAGTCCTATCTTCACACATGCATATCACATAAAAATAAGAAAACTTGGACAAAATCTCAAGAATATATCACAAACTAATCTGGTTCCACATCATGTACAGTGTGGAATTTTCAGCCTTGATGGAGATGTGCATTTGCAGACTGTTCTTGTTTCACACACTAATCCCGATGAAAAAAGAAAATGATGTTAAGGACTATGGTAATGTCACAGAACAATGACTTGTATGCTGACTGGACAATCTAAAAGAAGGGGGAAAAGCCTGAAAAAGGCTGTAAAAGCGATGTCACAGCAAACGCTACCATTTGCAATTATGAGTTTTCTTATGCAGTTTTTTTTCGTGTGTCTGTCCATACCGGCTGCCTGCTGTACCACTCCACAGGGCTGTTGTAGTCTTTCATCACCCAGGGATGGTCCAGCAGCTGTCTGACAGTCAGACGCCGCTTTGGGTCCACCTGCAGGACACATACAGAAACTACAACTCAACCTGCACAAAACTACATAGTCCACAATCTGTAGCAGAAACAGATTTGCCTTCAAATCTTGGAAAATGCTTTTAGGTTTACTGAGAGTAAGAGGTGTTCTGTTATAATAAATTTATGTGGCAAATGCATAATTGCATCTTACTGTAATTCAACCAAAAAAAGAAGATTTGCACCTCAGTTTTAATTAAAAAGAATCAAGTTTTCTAGAGAACAGTAAACAAATGATACATATCACAGGTTGAGAGGCTGACAGGTATACAAAGACAAGAGCAAATAAACTGACTGACCTGTAACATTTGGTTGAGGAGGAGGATACTACCTGGAGAGAGCCACTTTGGGTTATCATATGTACCCCTCTGAAAATAAAGAAGACATCAACAAACCCATTAAAAAATAATAATAATAATAATGACAAGACAACAGCTTGCTGTGAGTTTCCTTGAATGCCCACAAAAATTGAGGAGCAGCACCCGGAACTTAAGGGAAAGGTTTTAAAAATAAGAGTGCTCTTACTGTAATCTTCCTGTAGAGGATCATGCAGTTGTCATCATCAAAGGGCAGGTGTCCACAGAGCAGAGCGAACAGCAGTACTCCCATACTCCATACATCAGCCTGGGAGGAGGGGGTTACACACCACACAGCGGCATTTCAGCTTCATGCGTTACAGATAACATTTCACAGCTCAGTTGCATTGAATTGCACGCCAGCGAATGTGATCACGACACCATGAAAAACTCGAACCGTGGAACAGGCAGGTATTCATAAATCTTGGTGAAAGCCAAATGCAAATACTGCGACTTCAGAAATTTTTGAATTACAACCCCAGCGTTTCTAAAAGTTGTATTTACCAAAGAACATGTCATACCTCTGATCCAATATACGCTTTTCCCTGGATAAGTTCAGGAGCAGCGTAAGCAGGGCTCCCACAGCAGGTCATCAGCTCATAGCCCAACCCTCCCTACAACCACATGATATTTAGGTCATGATTATACACAGCATCGAGTACAGCATGCATACACATGTCTAAGTTTTAGTTATGATGTGCTACACAACAGTGTTCCTTTTATGATTATTTTACTCCCCATGCTTCTGAAAAATAAAATGGATGTTTGTCTGAGATTTTTTTCGTCATTGCAACATCCATAAGTATCAGGATACACTAAAGCCTTATCCATAACTACTACATTTTCCAAAGTAGCTAAAAAAAAAAAAAAAAAATCCAAACTCACAAACAACCTTTCAGAAAGATATTTAGGACCCTGGGTGGTTTTTCTGTGTTCAATATGATGGGAAAAAAGATATGCCTGGTAATCAAATTTTACATAAGTGCTGCTTTGTCTCACGTCGTGCACCAGTGTAGTGTGTTATGCATGGAACTAGTTTGTACAATAGACTGAGGAGTACCTTGGTAAACAGCAAATGCCTTAAGAACGTTTTTCCCTCGCCCTGATGCTAAATATTTATAATACACACAAAGAGGGAAAAGGAATTTGGTAATATACCTTAGGTTTGGCACACAAGCCAAAGTCTATAAGCTTCAAGTTGTGGTCTCCATCAATCAATAAGTTTTCCTAGAGTTCAAAGAGAAAAGCTTTAAGATTCATATTACAGCCACAACTGATCTATGACACTTTTTCGTGGTTGTTTTTGTTTGTTTGTTTTTTACCGGTTTTAGGTCTCTGTGTGCGTATCCTTGGCTGTGGACATAGGCCATTGCTGACACAATTTGCCTAAAAAAGACCCGGGTTTCCTCCTCAGACAGGCGGTCCTTAGCTATGATGTAGTCAAAGAGCTCCCCACCAGGGCAGTACTGAAAGTAAAATGAAAGATTGAGGGAAAGAAGAAAAAAGAATTCAGGATTTTTCTGGTTCAAAGCAGGTTTTGGGGATAATTATCTCAACTAGCCCACATATAGTTGCATCAAAAAAACTGTGTTGCCTTACCGAAAAGAAATTTGTGGCTTTTCATGTTATTTTAGGTCATTTGATAAGCATAAAAGTCAATATCACTTAAAATAAGTTGATAATGATAACATAGTTTTATTTACCATTATTATTCAAATTAAATTCTGGGGGAGAGGAGAACCCCAGAAATTGATCTTAAGCTTATATTCACTCTCACATAACACATTGCTTATGCCCTTACCTCCAACACCATAAATATCTGGGTGGAGGTCTCTATGACCTGATACAGTCGACAGATATGTTGGTGACTCAGGTTCTTCATGGCTTCGATCTCCACCTTCACACGGGGTAGGTCATCCTAGGTGAAACACAGGGATTTCTTGTAAATTATTTATACATACAAATACTGTTCACTGCACAGTACACTTTCTTTCTTTAAAAAAAAAAAAACATTATTCTTTGTTTGTTCTGCCTATTTGAAGACGAGCAAGAGCCGCGAATTGTGCTGAAGCGAAATACTGAGTTATTTCAGAAGAACCACTCCCATACTAATGTTTTCTGAAACCTCTTGTTCTAGACAAGGTCCGGTTTGCAGAGGAAAATGGGGTGTTAGAAAAGCTTCAGCATTACTTGGAAGGTAACAGGACAAATGCCAGGGCGTGACTTTTTCTCCCCAGATTAAAGGCTCAACTCAGGGCGAGGTCATCTTACTCTTATTGTAAACAAATGAATGCTTGAGCAAACATAACAGTTGAAGGCCGCCATCATTAGTCGGCCAAAAAGATTTGAATTGCAGTTCCAGAACATAGTTATTGAAAAGTGCCAAATGTCAGTTGTTGATTTTTATAAATGATGTGTCATGACTAATTGACCTGCATGCACCTAAACCAAAAGGCCAGTGAAACTGAGTTAACAGTTACAGACATTTAGGAACAAAATTTAATAACAAATTTAATTCTGATAGAAACACAAATTTATTTTACTGCTTGGTGCGATTGGAAATCACCAGTTTGTTGTCAGACAAACATGAAACAAATTTTATTGGCTGAACAGCTGTTATTGCTGATAAATGGACAACAAATGCAACCAATAACTTTCTGATCTGTGTTCTAGTGGCTGAAATTGCATTAGTGTAAACTCTGAATTTAAGATAATCAGAATACTTTATTGATGCTAAGGACATTATGTGGTTAGTGTTGCTCAAAGACAACAAGAAGAGTAACATACTGAGCTAAATTAAATATCCAATATATTATCAAAGTTACAAAATAAAGCCAAGAGCTCCAATATATACAAATAGCTCAATCTCCAGAACATTACAGAAATTACATATGATTGACATTTTACTCTAAAATTATTTTTGTAGAGGATGTGGAAAAGGGTGTAACTATGGCAGTGTGTACTGTGCATTAGATGGAGGAGTTTTACAGACAGGAATGATTCCCTCTGTAGTTCATAGCAGTTTTAATAGCAGTTTAACTGGTACTTGTAAATATTTAATCTTTTATTTGTTTACTGCTTGTCACTCTGTTTCACTATCAGATCTAAATAAAGACTGAACTGAACTCTTACAAGTATAGACTAATGGCACCAACATACAACTAGGCTGCCTCACTTTTGAATGCAACAACTTGTGATAATTGTTTCTGACATTTTATACTCTGAGCTATATTTTTGTGTTTGACCCTATTTTTCTATTGCCGGTTTCATTTCTTACCCCAAGATCCTTTTTATTCATGATTTTAATGGCAACCTTCTCTCCTGTCAAGATGTGTCGACCCAGCTTGACTTTAGCGAAACCTCCTGGGGAAAAAACAGAAAGAAAGAAAAAACACACAGGGTTCAGAGAGGATACGATACAGATAGTAATTGTTTTCTTAAATGCATTAATTAACCCTTGCATTACCTGAGCCGATAGTCTCATAAACCTCATAATATCTTTGGAGCTCGTCCGCTCCGCGATGCTCCGTCCTTTCTATTGGCATCTTCCCTGCTCCGGCGCAAGATGGTAAACTTTCCTGGAGAGGAAAATGCTTAAAATTGGCAACAGACACGAAAAAACTACGTTTGGCACTCACTGGTTATCGGTTTGTGACCGTTCAGCTAGCTTAACGTCAATTACTGCATAACTGTAGCCAACATAAATCATTAATACCGCTTGCAGTTGGTAAAAGTAACTACAATAAACCTTAACTGAACCAAAACAGTACTCGATATTCTGCATTTACCTGAACGAAAACAGAGGAAGACGGCAGCGTCAGTTAACCACACGGTAAAGCCCGAGTCCGGCAGACCGATGTTTTGTTACAGAAGTTTGAATTTCGCACGTTGACGTGACTACATTTCCTGCTTCCGGTTTGCGCTTCGTGCTTCCCCCTGTGGTGAAAAAGAGTACTGCAGCTGTAAAACAAAAAGCACAGTTGGTGCAACTTTGTTTTCAATTGCAGGCTGGTTCACAATCAGAATTACGTTAATTACCAAGTTGTTTTTTTTTATACAAACGAGTCAGGGGTTAAAAAAAAAATCGAACATGGTATTTATATTTGGTGTTATATTTGGTTCACTTTACCAGTCAGAGACAACATTAAAACCCCTGACGGGTTAAATGAATATCATTGATCATCTTGTTACAATACATGTTCTGCTTGGAAACCTGTGCTTTATTATTTATGTGTATGTATGATCTATTTGCTAAATGCGTATGCATTTCTATTTTAACTTCAAAATAGGATATAAGAAGGTACAAAACAAACATATTTGCCCCTAAAACCCAGATTAGTAGTTTGACATATAGCTAAATACAGCTAAAGTAGCACAGTAATATATTCTAAATGCATACAAAAACTACAAATACTGGTTAAATATGGTTAAATATTGGAGTACATATAGGAAGGACTAATGGCACTAGTCTGGTCAGATATGTACAATGTGGGTTAATGCATTTCCGTTGGGCTTTACACGGTTCAGTAGTCCAACAAGCCACAAGTTAATACACACCTCCCAGCCAGTCAGAAATCATTTATTTGTTTTGGTATGCATACACTCATCCCTGTAACACTGAAATCTCTTTTTCCTACTACTGTGTAGGTCCCGCTTTTGCTGCCAAAACAGGCCTGACCTATTGAGGCATGCACTCCGCAAGTCCTCTGAAAGCATCCTGTGTTGTCAGGAACAAGATGTTAGTTAAAAAACTGCAAGATAGTGTCTCCACGGATGGTACTCAGACTGGATTTTAGGGAATTGAGGACAAGTCAACAACTTGAATTTGCTAGGTTGCTCAAACCATTCCTAAAGTAGTTTTTTTTTTCAGAGAGGCAGACAATAGTGTGGAAGGCTTCTGCAACAATGGAAGGGTCTACCACAATGTTTAAGTAGAGCCCACATAAATGTCAGGACCAGAACACTGTCCAGCGTATGGCTTCTGCCAGTTTGCCTTCATTTGCCAGTGGATTCTGGTAAAAGTGACACCTGGCTGTCCACATAATGTAGTATAATATAAACTATCACACTAAGCAACCTATTCCCATTGATCAACCATATACAAGCCTACACTGGGTAAGACACAGGGTCCACCATTTCCCAGCCCCAGTCAACGAACAGATTCAGACCCACAGACTAATTGCTGCAAGGCCAATGTTTTAACTACTGCATCACTATGCTGCCAGATTTGTTCATCTATTATTCCCATATGGAAAAAGAAACCTCCTGAGTTTCCCATTACCTCCAATAGTAAATATTTATATTTTATGTATAAGTATTTACACTCAAATCAATATACTGTGGACAAATGATGATACTGGTAATCATGCTTTCATATACAGGTATATTACGACCTGCATGTAGGAAAGCCTTATGTGTTTTTTGTAATGTGGAAAGTGTTCTGTTTTGACCCTATAGGTATGTGATTGCAGTGGCTGACCGAAGAGATGTATTTAAGGTGTCAGAAGAGGTGTCTTCAGCTGTGCCTGTCTGAAGTCTGTAATTAGGAACAGGTGAGAGGTGAACTATAAATGCATTTTAGCAGAACCCCATCTTCTGTCTAATGCAAGCACTTTCACTGCAGATGATGTATAAAGGTATTTTCCCCCTGATTATTTTCCCTGATTATTTTAATTGTAAAGGGACAACCACAAAGCTACGGAGCGATTCAGTGATTAATCAGTGACCATCCTGTATGTCTCCTGGTTGTTAGGAAATGAGTCGGTTGTTAGGGAAGTAATCTGTGGTTAGGGGATGTCCAGGTGTCAGCAGGATGACAGAACCACTCATTTGGTCTGTGCGGCAGCTGGACGGGATGGGACAGAGGCACATCAAATAACCACAGCTGGAAGCAAACAGAGGAGAAAGTGAGTGTGAGGAGACGGGAGAGTGAAAAGAAGAAAAGAGAGCGGAGAGAGCAGCGGTGGAAAGTGGAAAACAGAGGAAAATGGAGACCAGTATGAGGTTTTAAAAAAACAAAATCTCGAACGTCACTATTTTGTCTTTGTGTCATTTGTACTTTGTGGTCAGCATACACACACACACATACACAATCACTTACACACCGACGAAAACATATTTTCAATAGTTACATACGGTTGATTGTCTGGAAAGCAATAGCCGTGTTTTTTTTAACAGATCTCAGCTAGTCTAAAATCTGCATGAGCTCATAGTTTCACTGCAGATTTAAACATATTTTGAATGTATTGTAACGTACTGCAAGGCACAGGGTGTTCCCCCCTCTGGGTCCTTTTATAAGATACAACTCAAAGAATTAAAAAAAAAAATGGTTATAATGCTGTTGAGAGCAAATTTTGTTACGGCAAATGGTTTTAACAGACAGCCCGGGACTGCCAAGGCCATGTCCAGCCAGCAAAGTTTCACATATAAGCATCAGTACATAATCATAACAGTCAGGCAACTAAATGTCATGAACAAAATCCTGGTGTAATCGCACGGAAACTTTTAAAAACAATAAGAAACATCATGTTAGCAGATGTGTGTAATATGCAGGTTGTGCATCCACGTCCTGCATTTGTTTTGGGATATATGCTGCTGTGTGCTGTCATTCAAGCAGATCTCTGCGTTAAGGAGCTGCTGTGTGAAGGTAAACATGTTGCAAAATGTAAGAGCTTGTAAAATTTAAGATTCTACAAGCTCTCACATTTTGCAAGATATTTACCTTCATACATATTTAGCTCCATACTGCTGTACCACCTCCAGCGAGTGTATAATGAGAGATCCTGTAGCAGCTATAAAGGTGTCACAACCAAAAACAGACATTGTGGTCCTAACAGCTTCTGTCTTGTACATCTAGTATCCTCTGACAGATTCTTGGAGGTTCCCAGAATGCCTGTGTCATTAGTCCATGGCTGCTGGGTGTTCACTGCAGGGGACTGGCGTCTTAGACCTGGATGGTTGCCAGAGAGGGTTGAAGTAAAAAAAAAGAGGGGCATGTATGTCCGTGTAGGTGCATGCTATCATAAAGGTTGTGCTGCACTTTGCCTCACTGTCTCCAGTCAGAGGGCTCGTGCTAAACACTCAATAGGAGAGATGTAAAGCTTTGCAGAATAACAGATTTTCGTTCTCACTCAACCTCTTTAAACAGTGGCCCGATTGGCTGTGTACAACAGACATTGCATCACTGCACTTTATCCACACATGTGTGTCTCATATATCTTTTTAGAGTCCACACATAAACATGAGCGCATACACAATCACAAAGAAGGGGGCTCTCAGAGAAGTTGGGAAAGTTTTGATCCTGGCAATTTCACACCCATGTTGTGAACAGCTGCAGGGTCAATCGAAGGACAGTCTGTGGGGGGAAAAAGGTTTTTCAGGTCTGAAATGTTGTCACTCCATTCAGCAACACAGGTAAGACATGTTTTTATCTGCCCCCTACCTCCCGAAGTGGCTCTGTGTCATAAGTTTTGATAGACCTGACTCTCATTGCTCCAACCTACGCAACATGAAACGGTGGAACTAGGCAAGCCTCACTACATTGTGTGTTTACAGGGCAGAAACAGTCCTCTTCCCAGAACTAAAACATTCAGCCAAGGTAATATATTACACCCATATGTGTTTGCACTCCTCCAAATCATTCATGTTCATCCAAAATATTAGCCAAAACTCTCAAACTGAAGACCTTGGGAGTGTGTGACAGTGGGGTTTTGAATGCAGGCCAGTGAATATACAGTAATGTTAAAAGCGATCTGATCATTAAAGGACAGAGCAACATGGTAGTAAACTGAGTCATGATAAGATGGCAAAATAATGCATGTGAATCATTTATTCAGGGAATTTAAATCACCAGGGAACAATGCCACTCAGTGCGTGTGTGTGTTTGATTTTCAGTCCATCCTCTAGCAGTTTGCTGTGGGCTTTTGTTTTTTTTCCCCCAAAGAATTTCTAAAGGTGTTTCCCATCATCACTAAAATATAATAAAAACAATAACTCAAAACATAACAAGCCTTATACAGCAAAAACCAAAAAGTGGGTGGAGAAGCAAGAAGTATGCCTCTCTAAAGCCCCACAATCCTGCATGATGATTCAAAGGGAGCAATATTGTCTTTGGACAAGCGTTAGGATACGCTACAGGAGTCTGTCCATTTTTCTCTCTCACAAACACACGCTCTCTGTGAGCTGTCACAGAATTCATACCAAGGAGTAAAGGAGGTGAAATCCACTTAAAAGGACACCTACATTTGTGACGTTCTCTCAGCACTTCTCTTTACATCCTTCCCAAACTGTCCTTTTTCCCTCCCACCCTATAAGCCAACCCCAACTCTCAAACGCACACTCCCCTCATTACAGATGTGTGTCTATGTGAGTGTGTGAGATTGTCCTCCTCTCTCAGTCTCTTCATGGCTGGATTGTGGCAGCAGCCCTGCTATCTGGGGCAGGGTCGAGTTCTGGCTCTGCTGCACTTGATCTGTCTTCTCTCCCCAGCCACAGGTGCTCTTCCTTGGGATAACACAGGTGGCTCGTCCCCTCTGGAGGTAAGACGCCCACACTTTCATTGGGGGGGG